AAGTCAACGGTCAATTCTCTGCTTTGTCTATTGGGAATAACACCTTTTTATATGTTTTCATTAATTTTTATTCAGTTAAATTAATCTGTTTAGGATAATTTTAATGGCATTTATATGTGAGTGCATATATTCTAATTTATTGTGATTATTATGTATTTATAATATTTAATTATAAAATATTTGATAACGATGAGAATAAATTCATGTAATTGACAATATTTAATTTATATAATTTTTATTTATTTTAAAAAAATATATTCAAATTTATAATTATTCGTATATAAATCGTATATAATATTTTCATTTATTGTATATCATAAGTGATACTATTTTAATTTATATAACTGTATGAATTAATGATAACAACTCAAGTGTAGGTGGGTAACTTATATGACTAAAATATTAAGAATAAAATAAAATATTAAAACAAATATGATGTTTGTTAGAGACATTTTTATATAATATGTTAAGAATAAAATAAAATAAATATATTTGATATTTCAACAAATGAAAAAAGATGCATAATTTGTATTGAAACATTAATAATAAACTATAATATTTATCAATATTTATAACTACAAAATTATTATATATATATACATAAATTATTTTTTATTCTACATAAATTTATGATACTCATTTATCACGTAGGATTTAAAAAATAATAATAATAACCACGTGGCAGGTATGGAAGAATGACTAAAATATTAAGATATCCACTAAATTATTTGAAAATATTTAAAATTTTCCATATAAGTATTTTTTGTCCAAAGTTCTCCATAAATTTCAATGAACATGACAAAACTCTTCATGTTCGTTAACTTTCTTTGAAAAAGTCAATTGTTTCTGATGAAATACTTGATGTTAAAAAATGACATTAAGGATTTTTGAAATGCGTTTGTTGTCACTAATGAAGCACCTGACGTGAAAAACCTTACACTAAATTTTTACATTTTTTTCCTTCTCATAAATTACTTTGTATACTTACAACTAATAAAGCACATGACATAAAGAATACTAAACCAAATCATTACAATTTTTTCCAATCATAAGTTACTTTGTATACTTGGAGCTAATGAAGCACATGACATGAAGAACCTAAACCAAATCATTGTATTTTTTCCCTAATCATAAGTTACTTTGTATATTTACATAAAGGAAATTAAAGTCTTTTTTTGGACTCAGTTAATGATACTGGTATTAAAAGATTATGTTAAAATTTTAAAAAGAATTAAAAACGTGTTGACTGATACTAAATTAATAAAGTACTAATTTTCTCTAACAATAACATATTCTATTAATTCTTTTTACTAAAACGGATAAACATATTTGCCTAAGTTACAATACAGACCACATCCCATATATTACTTTTTCTTGGTGACAAGCATAAAAATAAAGCAATTAACATAAATGTGTTCTCTCAAGTTTTGTCATAAGATGATCACCTTTCTCTTGTGAGTTAGCACAAATGATTCAAGAGTTAGCATAAACGAACCTTTGCATTATTTAAAGATCGAAGCTTGCTTTATTTCAATTTTGATACAAAGAGCAAGGGGGCTACAAATAATTTGAAGATGGAAGCATGTTTTGACAAGAGCAAGCCAGGCGTGTATGGTGTGAAGCAGACAACATTGTAAAGGAACATATCAAAGGAACAATACTTTAAAGAATTTGATGGTATAGAGATGAAGGAGTTCTTTTGGTTTAAGGCACAAATGATGGCATCTATGAAGAAGAAGAAAGTGTGGTATAAATAAAAAAGCTAGTTTAGATGGGGTGAAAGGAGATTAAAATATTTGCTGACATAACA